CATAAGCCTGAGCAACACCACCGGCCATACCACCCAAGAGACCAGCGGTAGCGGGGCTGACGCCCATACCAACACCAGCGGTCTCGATTTCAGAAGCCGTGAAAAGAAGCACACCACCCTTAGTGGAGGCTTCAATCCAAGCCTATTCATGAAATCAGTATGAATTGAATACCTAGACGTTCACGAGGTAACCACTGACCCACGGAATCAAACCTTGATACATTCCGGCGATACCACCACGGGCCCATACCGCCTTGGTGGCCTGGAGCATAGTTTGGGACCGGTTGGCGGCCATTTGGGTCTTAAGGACTTCCAAGGGTTGACCAAGGGTCGTGACCTGAAGATAGGACTGTCAAATTTACTTAACACGATAAACACTCCCTCGACTTGCCTCCTGCAAGGGCGAAGACAGGTCAGTAAAAGTCACTCAACGGAAATGAGAGTGAACGCACAAACTATGACATGAAGGACGCATCACGACGCGTACATTAGCTGATAATCACGGCGAGTTTTGAAACACACCATGTTCATGATAGCACCTACGAGAATTCACATTGTTTAGTATGTTTCATGAAGCAAAAACACGTAGACGCGCTGACCGACAGCAATGTTAGACCAGTTGATGCCTTTCTGGCCGGGTTCCCTCTGAATTGCCATCGTGTGCTAGTCGTCGCAGGAAGTGACCGGGTAGAAAAGAGAAGGTGAGAGAGGTAAAGAAAGATAACGTTGAAGTTGATGCGAATAAAAGGTTGGATGTTAACCGGCACCTTCCAAATGGAACCACTCAATGTAGAGGCGACGTTTATTGATTGCACAAAATAGCCCCAAATAGCTAATTTTAGAGCGACATATTACCTGAGACGGGTGTCACTTTGGGGGTCAAATTACTGTAAGCGGGCGCGGTCGGAGCGCTCTACTAATCGTACGTTCATCCAAGATTTTTTATAAAGCCCAGTCACACAAGTACGTTGCTCGTACCCAAGGATGAGTCTATTGGTACAGAACACTAGTAAGAAGTTGGCATAATTAAAGAGTTCCATTCAAACGATGCAGGATCTACATTGGTACAGTCGCATTAGAGAAAGACATCCAGATATGTGCAATCATTAACCGTAGGGGGTATGCAGTGAAAAGGAAGTTGATGCTAGACTGAGACATCTGACAGTGATAAGAATGATAGGTAAAAATGTGCGGGGAGTTTCTTATATTACGAATAGAGAGGGGTAAGGAAAGGAAGGGCAAGTCAACAATAACCCCAACAGAGCAGGATACCACCCGCAGACATAGCCCAACCACGAGGAGGGGGGATGGAGGCTGCGCGGAATCCACGAGGCTAGTGAATCCTGACGGCGGAGGGGTTGGTGATCGAGCCTTCATGCATTGGATGTGCCGCTTAGTTGTTCGATATCTGCCTTTAATCTGCGGGGGAAACACGCCATGGTATGAGTACAAGTCAATAAATGAGATCCAAAGATAACCATCCGCAGGACAAGTAAAGAAAGGTATCATAAATTATAGTAAAAGTAAAGCGGCCATCACCGAGAAAGTCAGAACAATCAGATAAAGTCGAAAATCACGGCCAGCGCGATCACTACCCCAAATACACTTTGAAGTCCAAAGACCTTGACATACCGAGTGATAGAGTCCTGGCTCTCTTCTTGTTCTTGCTCAAGGTACTGGATCTCCATCGATTTGCGTGCGATGTCCTGGTGGACCTCGTCCACCTTGTTCTGGAGCCCGTCAATCTCATTCCTGAGATCCCTGACGATGCGCTCATGATCAGCCACCACGTCGTGCATTTTCATGTTGTGCGCCTCGTGCATTCTCTGCAGTTCCTCCCTGGTAACCATAGTCGACGACGGGGACATTGCCCCGCTGTTTTTCGGTGCAGCTGCAGCCGCAGCCGCAACCTGTGCTTGAAGCGTGGCGATCTCCCCCTCCAGGTCGGATAGTTTAAGAGACAGCTCTGATTTCTGCGTTGCAAGCCTGCCAATCTCCTCTTCATGAGCAGCACGGAGGCTCATCACGTCTTCGACACGTCCACGAGCTGCTTCCTCGAGCTCCTTTGTATGATTAGCAGACATTTCCGAAAGGGATTCCTTTGTGACGGTAAGAACGTCGTTAAGCATGACATTCTCATCACGGAAGTTGGCAAGCTCTTTCGTCAGGCGATCGATCTCGGACGCCTGGTCAGCAGAGGTGGAAGCGGCGACGAATGCCGCCCGGGCATCTTCAAGCTGCGCCTTGAGGCTTTCCGCGTCAGACCGCGAAGACTCTAGCGCTGTCTTGGCTTTGGCAAGATCGTCTTGCGTAGCACGTAGCTCGAGGCTCTGGTTATTCAATTTCTTCTCCAGATCGCCGACCTGCGATGTAAGAACGTCTTCATGGTCCGCTTTCAGTCCATCCACCGTCGACTGGTGGGCACTACGGAGCTGTTCAATTGTTGCTTGTGATTCAGCACGGAGTGATTGAAGGTCTTCGCTATGTACATCTGCAGCTTCATTCTGATGCAGCGGCAGAATTAGCGTAAGTTGTGACACGGCGACAAGATGATACATGCCTTAGCACGTTCAAATGCCTCCTGCAGGAGCAAATCGTGCTCCGCCTTAAGAGCATCAACTTTAGCATTGTAGCGTGCTTCTTGACTCTATATCACCCATGAGAAATGATATTGCAGATATTAAACATGAACTCGCCTCCAGCTCAATAGTGATTCTCTTGATCTCCTCCGAAAGCTCAAGATGCTTGGAGAAAAATTCACTTTCGGTCTCTTCGATCTGACGCTCATGCTCCTCGGCAGTATTCTGGGCTTCGATCTTTGTCTGCTCATGGGCAGCATGAGTAGCAGCGAGCTCTTCCCGCAATGCTGCAAGGTCGGCAACAATATTGGAGAGCTCATCGTTGGCGGTCTGCAGCTCGCCACTGTGAGCTTCCTTGACTTCAGTCATCTGTTCAGCGTGTTGTTCCTCTCTAACTTTGGATACGGCAAGAGCACTCTGAGTGGCTGCGGCGGCATGGGCTAGTTCCTCCTCCACCCTTTTGAGGCGGTCGAGTGCCTTCGCATGGTCGTCCTCTGCTTGCTCTTGACTCTCCTTCAACTCCAAAATCTCGACCTCCAGCTCTGAGAGTTTGTTCGCGCTTTCCTCGCGCTCCGCCCTGAGTTGCCTGACCTGGGCTTCGAGAGCGTCTGCATCAGCGGCTCGCTCGTGGGTTTCACTCAGCCTGACGTGGAAATTTTCAATTGTAGAAGCGTGAGAAGCCCTCAACGCTTCCAGTTCTGCGCTAATGGTTTCATAGTCGTTCCTTGCCCTAAGAACAGCCTCGCGCTCGTTTTGAGCTGCTGCTGCCGCTTCGGAAGAAGATCGCTCGCTTGAGGCGCGCAGAGTCTCAAGGTTCTCGCGAGCTGCAACCAGTTCAGCTGTGAGAGAAACCACTTGACTCTGGAGGTCATAAACATTATTAGTGTGGTTAGATGACGCCCACTTTGCCGCATCAAGCTGAAAGAACGTGTCTGAGACAATCTGGATGCCTGAAAATAATTCACCTACCTCCCGCTTCATGGACTCGAGTAGAACAAGGACCCGCGAATGTTCAGCGCGATCTCGTTGCAAAGTAGCGTTGAGTTCTTGCAGGTCCGACACAGCAGCAGCCCTCTCTTGCTGCAGCTGCAGAAGTGAAGATTGACTTGCTCCAGCGTCTGCACGAGCCGCATCTAGAGTTGCTGAAAGGTCCACGACTGCCTGCGTTTTTACTGAGAGCGCATCCATTGCCTCTTTGAGCTAAGAGGAACTGTCAGCAATAAGCTGAAACCAAACACAAACACCTCACCTTCTGTTGCATCTCTTCTACAGCTTTTCCATCATTAACTTCTCGAATGGATGAGATTGAAGTAGCCTGCCGCGTAGGGGCCACTGTTGAAGAGTTCCCCTTCGAGGATGACGTTGAAGGCGTTCTCCTCACAACATCTGATATTGAAGCACGAGGACGAGAGACAGCAGAAGCAGCGGTATTGGACCTCAATGATGCAGTAGAACCAGAAGGAGAAATAACAGAAGAGCGCGAAGGTGCGCTGGCTTCAGCTGGAGGTTTAGAAGATGTTAGGGACGCCAATAAAGAGCCCCTCGACTTTGATGGCGGAGGGTTGCCCGTAGCAGATGGCGCCCTTGGAGGGAGCACGGATGATCGGCGAGATGGGGGAGCGGGAGGGCTTCTAGAAGACGCCATTGTGGGCGCTGTTTTTACTGGCGAATTAGCAGAGGGAGTGCTGATAGATTTCCTCAAAGACGAAGGAGCAGAAGGGGTGGTTTTCGCGATAGTGAGAGGAGTTGAAGTAAGGACCTTGCTCGCAGGGCTTGGTTTCGTACTAGTAGCGCCAGATCCAAACGTGCCAGAATTCAGTACCTTTGCTCACATGGCTAAGATGAATTGAGTCAGACTGAGGTGAGGCAAACACACCTTCTTCACGGTTGGCGTAGGCGGTGCAGATCTTGTCGGAACAGCTTTAGCGGATATGACTGGTTTCTCCTTTCCTGTTTTCAAGACGGCCTTTGGAGCAGTAAGCTTCTTAGTCACCTCCGGCTTTGTGGCAGGTGCAGCATCCTTAGGCGTGTCACCGGGCTGCGTGGCTTCCTGCATGACTATTTGATTAATCACATCATCATCTACTGCGCCATCGGCAGGCGAGCCAATTTCGTCCTGTGTGACTGGCCCTTCTACCACGACAAACGCCTCATGTTCATCATGAGGTTCAGGAGACACGCCATCTTCGGCAGCAAAGTTAACCGCAGTTTCGAGGTCGGTAGTTCGGGGAATGTTCTCTATGTCGGCCATAATCACTAAAGATGATGGCGGGGTTGAAAGAAAACGTGTTGGGACCGGAATTCGAACGGTCAATTGATGAGGGAAAGAAATAAAATACAAACCAGAAAATCTAACATTGCCGGTCACGGGACGCGCCCAACTTGGCGCCGGCCGGCACCGAACCATTTTTATCGGTGGGCTAGGGAACACAAATTCACATATTTCGAAGCCTGTGACAAGGTCTCAAGGTCTACATCTAGCACATACAACAAACTACTTGAGGTCAGCATACAGATTCAAAGCATTCAAAGCTGGTTCATCGAGGGAGTTATGATTATAGCTCAGGACAGAGACCTTACCAACGTCTTTAGTTCCCCTTATTAATAGCACAACTAAAAAATGCACTTACTCCTCCAGGTTCAACGTTGAAACGAGTTCCTGATGATCAAACTTGAACACAAGATATTACAAACAACAGTCGGTTGTATCATACCTAAAGCGAGTTCGAATTTTATCCATCGGGAAATGAGGACACGATTGAAGTGGCCATGAGCAATGATTAGCACGTCGCGTGTTCCCTTGCCCTCTTCGAAATATTGTCTATGGTACTCACGAACCTGACAGAAATGAGATTTGCAGAATATGCAACTAAAGCACCAACCTTAGCGATCACAGAATCAACGCGATCGCGCATCTCCTGAGCACTCTCGCCTCCGGGACAGCTACATTGGTCAGGTCGATCGGGAAACATTGAATGAGACCTGGTGACAACTTACCCGTCTCTCCAAATATCCCATTTAGGGTCTATGGCAAGAATTTCATGTTTGAACAAGCCTTCGTACTTCCCATAGTCCCATTCTCTAACGGACTCATCGATGATATGGTCCGGGACCTTGGACAAATGTTCGAATAACAGGTGGAATGTTCTGTGCGCTCGCTGACGAGGAGATATAAGGGCAACACAGAGATTCTGTGGATCGATGGGTTCTTCAAAGCAGGAACAGTATCAATCGGGCAACCAATGTAAACAAGGTATATGATACTGACTGCCTTCGCCGACCAAGACGTGTGCTTTGGACTTGATTTGTTCCTCTCCACGGACTGTCAGAGGAATGTCGCTTGTTCCAGTCTAGCGAGGTCGTGTTGACACATCGAAACGAGAATGTCTCGAGTACTTACGTGCCGTCTATCGCAATAAAATATGAGCCATGACTACACCCCTTATAAGCCCAAGGACCTCACCCATTCAGGGACCATTCTGTTTCACCTTTAAAGGAAATCCGAGTTAACTCTTCTACTTAGTGAATAGTACTGTGCGCACCATGTCGAATAAGAAACAGTCTTGGTGTTGGAGGGGTCATGATGCTGATAGAGTTAACACTGATATCGATGATCAGTGAGTGAAACCGAGAACTGTGGGTAATAGAAGGTGGCCATCCTAAATTGGTCCCGCTTAAGTGGTAGTGACTAAGTATAATAAGACTGAGTGCTGTAACTTGAAACAATTTATACAAGTCACCACCCGAAGCCACAGTTTGCCATCTGTGCCATGTTTGACGACTGTAACGTCTCGCGGTTATATCTTGACGTCATTTGCTAACGATACACGTAGTCGTCGAGCACGCTGCTCCAACAGCAGGTCATTCTCGTGGCACTGCGCCTCTTCCACAAGTCCAGTACGAGGGTTACGAGCCGTCACCTTATGACAGCGAAATTCACGCCGAATTAGAACATACTGGAGCCTTGGTATGTGAACAAATATCAGAAGAATTCATTCACTGAATCTCCAAAGGATGCTCCATTACCGACCGCCAACACACCATTATTCGACCTCGGACGTGTCCAATATACGCTTCCATCTCCTCTCGTGTCTTTGGCAGTCTCCTCAGATGTTCTTGCCATGGCATTAGCGTCAAATACCATAGTCCTCATCGAGCTCTCTCATGCAGAGCATGTCGTTACGATCCCCATCCCACGAAAAGCGACCGAATTGATTATACACAAGATCTTCCTCGACCCATCAGGCCGCCATCTTATCATCACTTCCACTCAAGGCGAGAACTGGTATTTATACCGTGGCTGGAAGAAGCCTAGGCAACTCAAGTCGTTCAAGATGGTAATCGAGAGCGTTGCGTGGAATAAGGCTGCGTTATTGGCATCCACCCACTCCATGTCAACAAGAGAATTTTTGATCGGCACGCGGAATGGTGGTATATTCGAAGCTGTGTTAGATGCTGGCGAGGATTTCTTCAAATCACAGGAACGGTACTTGCAGCTTCTGTTTACCCTCCCTGAAAAGTATCCAGTCACCGGTATCAAGTTTGACCTATTTCCCCCCTCTGATTTGCGGAATGCCCTGGTTGTCGTTACGACTCCTTCACGAATATATCAATTTGCAGGCTCACCAGATCGGCGGTCAGAGGAGGGCGGTCGTGTTTTCTCTTCCTTGTTCGCCGCATATCGGGAAATTACGCCGAGTAAGTATTGGGTGCTTAGCAGCATAGCTCTTTGCTGACATGAATAAGAAATATCCGAACTACCTGGAAATCTGCAGTATTCCGAACTTCATTTCTACACCCCTAACTCAGACCAAGCACTGTCCCTCCCGAAGAATCTTGCTTGGATGACTGGTGTGTTTCTTTGTGTTTATGATTTCCTTCACCTAATGCGAACGTTCGTAGCTCCTGGTATTTATCACGGGACGCTCAACTTCGACCCGAATTCTGACGACCACATCGATTCAACACAACTCCATCCATACCCATCTTTCTTACCTGGCACATCCCCTGATACCTCTCAGTCACCCCCAGAAGTCCCAGTCTCCATTTCCCTGACGGAGTTTCACTTCATCTTGCTATACAGGGACCGAATTGTTGGTATTTCCACCTTGAATGGAAAGCAGACTTATGAGGATGCCATACCGTTGGTAAGTCATACGTACCAACGTAGGTCACATTGTTGCTGAGGATTGACTTAGAGGCCAAATGAAGTCGTACGAGGACTTGCTGCTGACCCAGTTCGTAAAACATATTGGGCCTACACGGATCAATCCATTTTCGAGCTTATCGTTGGCAATGAGAATCGGGACGTCTGGCAGATATATCTAGCTCAGCAGAAGTTTGACATTGCACTTCGGTATGCAAAGGTCGGTAATATTGTATAGTTCACCTTCACTGGATGCTGACTGATTAGTTGAGTGCAGACGGCGGGCCAGCGAGATAGCATCCTGTCTGCTCAAGCCCATGCATTTTTTGATGAGGGTCGTTATTTCCAGGCTGCACAGTGCTATTCTCAATGTTCTGCGCCATTCGAGGAAGTTGCATTAAAGTTCTTGGATGCTGGCGAACGGGATGCACTGCGCTCGTACTTGATTTCAAGACTCGAGCGGACACGGAAGTCGGTGAGTTTTTCCTCTGCGATATCCAGCAATTGGGCCCTCACTGTCTTTCCATGGTAGGACTTGACTCAGCGGATGATGTTGGCAACATGGCTCGTCGAATTCTATCTGAGCAGATGTAATGAACTGGACAACCTGTGTGCTTCTGAATTGGTGACCAGCGATGCCGAAAACCTGCAAACTCAGCGTGCGATACTCGAAGACGACCTACGACAATTCTTCGATACATATAAGGTACACCATTCTATGCATGATTTACTCACTTGAACATATCTTCCCCAGAGTAATCTAGACAAAAATGTTGTTTATGAATTGATTCAAGGTCATGGGCGGACTGACATGTTCCTACACTACGCTACGGCGGTCGGTGACTTCGAACGCGTTATTGCACACTGGATATTAGAAGAACAGTGGACCAAGGCCATTGATGTACTCAACCGCCAGGTAAACATTACACTCGTGCACCGCAATATCCCTGACTAACTGGAGGAAGACGAACCCCGAGTTATACTACCGCTTCGGTACCGTGCTGACCAGGCAAGCACCCAAGGAGATGATTGAATCCTGGTTAAAACAACCGTCTTTGGACCCCTTGCGCCTCATTCCTTCCCTACTGCAGCTGCAGCATCTCCCTCGCGACCCGCTGTCTCCCGACCACGCTGTGCGGTACCTCAGTTACGTGGTGTTTGAACAGGGTGACAAGTCACCGATGGTTCATAACCTTCTCGTGACATTCCTTGCGACTCGGCTCCCTCGTTCTTCAGAAGAGGATGGCCCATTGCTAAATTTCTTGACCTCTGCGCCCTCGGATCCGATGACAGGCAAACCATACTATGACCTCGACTACGCTCTTCGAGTGTGCAAAAGAACGGGGCGCATTCAATCATGCGTTCACATTTATTCACAAATGGGTCTTTGGGAAAATAGCGTGGACCTGGCATTGGAGAAGGGTGACTTGGAGCTCGCAAAGGAAAATGCCAACAAACCGGAGGACGACGCACCGTTGCAGAAGAAGCTTTGGCTCAAGATTGCACGATACGTGGTGCAGGATAAACAGGACATTAAAACGCAAGTGAGATCTTCGTCAGTGGGTCTTCCTGCTCATGAGTCTGTGTAGCGCAATGCAATTCTTGGAGAACACGAATATACTCAAGATTGAGGATATTTTGCCCTTCTTCCCTGATTTCGTCGTTATCGACGACTTCAAGGAGGAAATCGCGCATGCTTTGGAAGGTTACTCAGCCCACATCGATGACTTGAAACGAGAGATGGACGATGCGACTCGTACTGCGGAGTCGATCAAGCAGGACATCGCTGAGTTGAAGAATCGTTTCGTAACTATCGATGCGGGGGAAAGGTGCTCCGTTTGTTCGCAGCCTTTGTTAACGAGGCAGTTTTATGTCTTCCCCTGCCAGCACACCTTCCATGCAGATTGTCTGATCGGATTGGTATGTTTACTCTTGCTATTAAAGAGAAAAAAATTGTACTGAATTGCACGGTCGTCAAGGCAAAAGAATATCTTCCTACACATGCGCTCCGGCGGATCATTACTCTGCAGACGGAGCTGGTGAAGGGAGGTCAAAAAACCAATCTTGATAATGCAGTTTCTGTTACGCCAAACGGGCATTCACGCCAGGCAGCTCAACAGCGCACACTCCTGTCTGCTAGCTTTGGAAGTCCTGTACAGAATGGTAGCAAGGCAGCGAATCTCCTCGGACGAAATCTACTTTCTGCTGGAGACCGCCTGAGAGATCTTATTGTTCCAGATGCGCTGGCTTCGGTTGTATCTGCACCGGGGTGGATACCGGGTATGAGTGGGGGAAAAAAGGTTGGGGTGGATAAAGACATTGAGAAGAAGGTAGAGAAGTTACGGGCCGAGCTGGACGACGTTCTCGCGAGCAGTTGTCCGCTATGCGAGAGTGTGGTTGCAGGGTTGGATAAGCCATTCGTGAAACCAGGTGAATTGGACACGACCTGGACGCTGTAGGGACGGTACATTGTATGGACATGGCATGCTCTAATACAATATCTCTAGCAGTGGTTAACCATGAATCTTTTTTGTGCGTCCTGCTTTTCGTCGTAGCCTCGCGGTCTTTCTAGCTCCCATCTTGTTTACAATCAGTATTGAAAGGGGGATACAGGACCTGGATGTACCTTTGCTTTGTCTTCTTCCAGTCTGCGCCGCTCCTCCGCTGCGTTTTTCCTCTCGAGGGTGATTTCTCGTCTCCTACGCCACAGGATTAGATGTGATCCCCAACACGATGCACAGATTATCGCTCACCGTTGCTTCTCAGCATTTTTCTCATTTTTGAGCTCAGTTTCCAACTTCTTTGCGGCGTTGGTTTTTGTAGTCTTCTTCATTCGTTCCTCAAAGTTGGACCTGTGTCCGGCAGAGCATTGCGTTCGACTAGTTGCGGAATGATGTTTTGTCCAGATTGAGTGAATTATGGTACGTACAAGGTAGCTGATTTTTGTGCCTTCCATGATTTCCCAGAGACACGTCCATGTGATGAGGAAGTGAGAGGGACAAGCTCTTCTGACTCCATTGTGGTATGATGAAGACGTTCATGTCCATATTAGGATGGTGGGGTGAAGTATTACGTAAGTTAATTTAATGATGAGTCTCCAAGGTGAATTGTTCTCGAAGTTACTTAAGTTATGTTTTTTTTCTTGGTTGATGCGTACTCTCGCGTACCGATCGAGGCCCTGTACGTACCATCGGAGGATAGTTTAATAAAATTAATTTTGTAAAGCGAATGACTTTGTTTTTGATACGTGGGATTATTTATATTTCATAATGTGTTAGAACCAAGTTGGAAGCATATCTTACCTTGGACCAAGTTCTGCGGTCATGTTGAGGTCCGTCCATTCTCCATGGGACCCTCAAGACGACCTTCGAAGCGCCCGCTCCTATGCTCCTCATCACACCCATTTTTCCTCAATATCCGAATTTCCCGATTCCCCATCAGTCTACAGTCACGCTTACTTCTCTCCAGACAGCAGGGATATCGAACCGAATATTA